TAAAAAGCTACCAAGACCTTGTAGCCTGTGCTCAGAAATGGTACAGATCAGTCAGAGTAAATTCTCCCTCACAAACTGGTTTCTGGCATGTATTTGTTGTCAAATTTCTCTCACCTTTCCTTTTCTGGAGGTTTTTTGTGACGGGGAAAGTAAAGGAAGTCTTTATTGGTGGCCAAAGCTCACGTGTGTGTACCAAGCACCCTTCTCTCTGTGCTAATAAACGTGTTTTTACCTTTAAGCTGCAGGTTGGCAGACTCTGTAAGTGTTACAAGATGACAGCTACTGGAATGGAGCATTCCTAGGCAGTTGGTGAAGCTGTTCAGACCTGTCATGGCCATGATTCGTTTGTAAGAATTAAATCCTACTTTTATTAATTAAAAAGGAACAATAGGGAAATAGAGAATGAGCTTGCACTTTAGTAATCTGCCCCAGAGTTTAGCTCTTCTTGCTTTTCCACTTGACCTTGCTACTGGACTGAGGAGCAATGATTTACTACTAAAACACTGCCACTTATCTCTTACTTAAATTTGCATGTTTTAACTTGAGCTACAGGATCATGCTGTGATTTTGGCTGGATGTTTTTGAGGTAGGCACCGAGAAATGGGGACCAGGCTACCTCCCAGCTCTTGCTGCCAGTTTCCAGCATGTCCCCAAAACAACAGATCCAAACATGAGGAGGAGAAGCATCACCACTCCCTGAGCGTGCTGGGCATAGCACAGGCAGCCCTGAGCTGTGTCTGTGCGTGAGAATAGGGAAATGCTGCTGTGTGCTCTGAAAGCCCTTGCCCTTGAATACAAGCACACTCTGCTCCTCTTCTGCTCCACAGTTAACAGAGACATGCCTGTGGGTTGACTTCCCCACTATTTACATATTTATGTTCTGTATTAGTCAGTGTTTCTGTCTCCAGCCTGTAACCTTTGGTCAGGTCTGGGATCTGCCTGGACTTTCTACAGCTGTGCTGGAAGACAGATTCCTCCTGCACTGCAAAATACTGTGGGGAGGAGTAGGGTTAGGGTTTTTTTCCTGAGGCCCATGCTCCTGCTTCACTGAGAAGTAGCTGAAATATCTCATATAAAACCAAAATCCACAGCAATGGAAGGTTGTTTTTTCCTAAAGAGCAGGGGCTCTATAGAAGCATTTCACAGCCCCAAAAGTTTTGTAAAGGCCATGGAGAGGAATATTGGAGGATTTGGATCTGTAGGAAGAAACAAGCCTCATCCAAACACTCCCACTGACTGTGGCTGGCATTGGACTGGACCCATACGTGAAATGTAAGCAAAATATCCTCAGAATCCTTTCCAATATAGTGGATTACAGCAAGAGTGGTTTTTATTTATAAAAAATGGGTTTATATCAAAAGGGCATTGCTATGTCCAGGGCCTTCCTTTCCCCTCTCCAAACATTCAGGGAAAAGATGAAGAGACTGTTCTCACACACGTGGATACATCACCTCCTCAGCAAACACGTCCACAAATTTGTTTCCCCAGCATCAAACTAAAACAAGCAGAGAAATATTTTTCTTCCAATGTTTGCTTTCTATTTATTTTCTGTTGCTACCTTTGTGCCTGCAGCAAGGTCAATGTTCCTGAACCCCAGGCCCCATTGGTTTTGCAGCTGCATCTTTAAGGAATTGGAGCCTTAAATTACCTCTTTAAGAGTTGTGATATTATCACTATAATTATTATTGTTATTCCAAGTTTCTTTATCTTTTTTTTTTTTTTGTTTCCCTGTTGTCTTCTTCACTGTTCACAGAAAGCAAAATTCTGAAAGGTCACATTCATTTTTGAAGGTGAGCAAATAGCTGCAGGGATTTATTCACCCAATTTCAAGCAGAAAAAATACACAATCAACTTATTGAGGGGGAAAATAGCCAAAACTATCTGCACATATCTAACCAGAACAACCTCACAGTCCTGTAATTCAGAACTTTGCTGTTGTTTCCTCACTCTTGGGAGCATCACTCTCTGTGTTGACAAACAATCTCTTCCTGCAGAGATCAAGGACTTTAAATTTTGGCATATTGTAGGCACTGTAAGAACCATAAATAACAACTTATTGAGTGAATCTCCCTTCAGTAGGCTTGACTTTCTCAGACTTGTACAATGTGTGAAATCATTTATTGCTGGGAGACCCGTGACACAGGCAGCCACAAAGCCCGTTGCATCTTACTGTTTGAAGCCTAAACCTCAACATCATTTATTTCTAAGCTAGTTTTTGGGTACATACAGAAATCAAACCCTTGTAAAATCGTTTTAATTTCCTGCTCTCATTCTTTGGGCACAGAGTGACCCTGTAAGATATTTCACTTTTTTTTTCCACATTACTGGTAAACTCCAGTTTCAGCCAGGATGCCCATAAACAAAACTCATGTCAGACAAGGCAAAGGTTCCAAGAAGACGGTTACTAGCTCAAAGCCAGAGTGTTTCATTTTAGAATTCATCTCTATTTAAACCATGAAAATCTCAGTAAGTATTGAATTTAAATCCACTGTCACTTTCTCCAGGCTCTTGTCAAAGGACTCATTATTAGTTTCTGGTTTACAGTACCTCCTAAATCCCCGTGCTGAGAGGGACCACACTGCACGAAGCAGAGCTGCTGCACACACAGAGCAGGAAGTGGTCTCCATCCCAGAGTGTTTGGGATCCCAGACAGAGCAGACAGAAGATAAGAAAGGTGTTATGTTTCCAGCACTGACACTCAGCAGGTCAGAGGGTTCAGAAGGACAGCTCAGGATCCACAAGTCTGCAGGCAGAACCTTATCGACCACATCAGATTTCATCATCCTCTTACCAAATGAAACCAAGTATACACATACAATAAATGTGGATGTAGTAAAGCATATGAGCATAAGTCCTTTTTGTAAGAAAGGTTCTGTCCCTTCTTACAGGAACAACCACAAAACCTCCCAAGCCTCTCGGATCCATCTGAATCCCCTCTTTTCTCCTGTGTTACGGCCCTTATCCCTTGGCCCCCTCTCACACAGAAACAACAGCTCACTGGAGAATAGCTTCTGCAGGAGAGCACAGTGTAGGGATAAGTGCTTCCCAAAAGGGATCTTTATAATTTCTGATTCCTGTTGGTCCTGGTGCCCTATTTGTGTGTGCCAAGAGGGAGAGCAGCACACTGCCTGTAAGCAGAACTCTTATTCCATGCTCCAAGACCTGTGGGACTAGGCAGCTACCAAGAGAAAGGTAATTGCACAGGCAAGCCTGAACTTCCAGCCAGGGCTGCAGTGTGTATAAAATCTTGGCTGCCTGATGAAGTCCTGGGTTACCACAAGTCCTCAGCATCAGCAACACGACTGTTTCCATGCCAAGATACCTTGATCCTGTCAAAGTAAGTTTAATTGTTGATTTTCTCTGCACATTGCCCAGAGCATTATATGACATTGGCTAGGCCAGCTGTCCCAGGGAAATGCTCCAGGAAATGGCTGCTGTCTGTCTCATCCCTCATGGCTGAGGATCTTTCCCACAGCAAGCCATCCCTGCAGGACTGTGAGCAGAGGAGCAACTGGGAACTCCAGAGCAGAGCAGCAGTTGGCAGCAGCACAGCAGAGCCCTCACTTTTGCTCTACCATTTCTGTGAGTTTCCACTCAGATCACTGTGCCCTTGGAAGAAATAAAGATCTTTGTCAATCTGAATTACAGTCAGGCTTGTGGGTGCTGAAAGAATGGTAAAACAGAAACAGACAGAATGAGCTCAGTAAATATGCTGTAGAAAAAGTCAGAAGGAACACACCAACTGTATTTCCAAAACTACCTGCCCCAATGTTCATGGTGTGATTCATATATCTACTAAAGTACTGCAGAAACCCTGGACCAGTTACACAATTCTCATCATGGGTTTATGTGAAATTAAGTCATCCCAAATGGTCATTCAAACCAAGGGTTACTGACAAGAGAAGGATGAAATAAAATGTTCCTGTTGTTCTAGACACAGAAAAGACTGCTAAGGAAATAACTTTATAGCCTGAGAAGGGTCTGCAGCTTTAAGAAATTCTCCCCTAAAGGTTGTAAAGCTTTTACTATGCAAAGTATTTTTGCTATTATATACACTGGCGGCCACTAAGTGCAGCTATTGTTTCTGGCGGTCATTCAGAGGAGGTCGGGACTGATAAAGTGTTTAGCAGAATTTGTTTGGGTAGATCCATCTGTGTTTTTAACCTCCCATACAGTCTCTGGTGTCCTTTTAAAAGATGCTGGATGTTCCTGAGTCTAATAAATGACAGGCTTTCTTTTTATTTGCCATTTTTTTATTGCCACAGAAAAGAATGTCTTCTTTACATTACCCACACTTTTCTGTATGGATTACAGAAGCATCTAAAAAATAGGATGTTTCTTTGCTGTGGGGCAGGGGTGCAGCTTACACAGAGCTCCCATTTCCTTGGGAAAGGCCATGTGGAGTTGTGGCCTGTTGCTCTCACTCCTTACACCTTGGGCTGAGTTCATGCTTCAGAGGAACAAAGAGGGGAGACTGCAATCAAAGGGCAGGGAAGCAAAAGGTGTGTTGAAAGGTTCTAGCAAGGAACCCCAGATGGAGCTTCCAAAAGGAAATGTTTTCAGGCCACATGAGCACCAGGAAAAATATCCTAAATAGTTGGGAAGGGCTGTGATAGCAGTTTAACACTCCCACTGGGTGGGTTTGGCAGGGCAGGAATTGAAACATAGCCTCAATGTAAAGACTCAGGACTGCACAGAGCAAATCAGGGGAGCTCTCAGCACCCCACTTCCCTGCCTGCCTGCACTGCACGGGCACGAGGTGAAGCACCTCAGTGACAACTTCTGAGTACTCTGTGTCCAAAACCCGACAGAAACACTGCTGGCACTACATTACATCAAAACGCTGACCGTGAAGAAGGTGAGAAGTTGCATTGCATTTTACAGACTGGAAAGCGAGACAGAACACCCACTGGCATAAAAAGACATTTAAACCCTCCAGCGAGAGGACCCCCACGTGTGCAAAGCGTTTACCTGCGTGCTCCAGGTGCTGCAGCACCTACCTGAGCTTGTCTGCCACGAAGATGACGCGGCGCTCGAGCAGCAGGGAGGCGAAGATGCGGATGATCTGCCGCACGCTCAGGCACCCGAACAGGCACTCGAAGTCCACGTGCTCCAGGCGGGAGTCCATGGGCCTCCGCAGCTCGATGACCTGCACACACCCAACACACTGCAGTTGTGGGACACATCTTGAGAAAGGAAGAAAGTTACAGCCTGGAAAATGGTCCAGGCTGGAGTTTTTCAGCTCTGTTCCCAGCCCATGAGCTGGTCCAGCTCAAGGCTAGGGAGAATTTCTCCCAAGGTGATCATTTGGTCAGAATAAAAAGGAGTTAATGACAAAGATAGAACACCTGTTGTTGTGTGTGACCAAGCCCTAGGAATGGAGTGTCTTCTCTCTAAACCAATCACTTCTTCTCTACTCTTGCAAGTCATGCTATAAAACCAAATGTGTTCCTGAATAAACTTGTCTCTTTCTTCCTGTCATGAAAAACAACCATATAACTGTGCATCTTATTTCTGCTGCACTTAAAGAGTTAAAACCTTTCCACTGCTACATCAGTCAGCACGGCTGGCCAGGCTGGCAGGGCAGAGTGCCTGCAGTGCCAGCACTGCCCCTGCTTGCCTGCTCAGGGCACACGGAGTGAATGAACCCCAGCCCTGCAAGTGCAAGGCACAGCGCTCCAGAAAAACGGTGTATTGCACAATTCCTGTCATGCCATTCTTCCCAGAATACAGCTGCGTGCACTGTCTGCCGTCATCTCCAAGGGAAGCATAATTCTCCCTTCCAAACATTCTGTAAGAGATGTAAAGCTTGGCTGAGTCAAGACTATGAAGCAAGTAACAATCAAACACTGGAGCTGGAAGCTTGCAGGGTTGAAACAGCCATAAAGTCAAGGCAAATTGGGTTCTAAGCTTGGCTAACAATTCATATTAACATCTAGACAGGAGCCTGGGACTCAACTAAAAGGCCAGGAAGACTTTAAACCAAATTTACTTCGTTTCCACTCTTCTGTGATGTGTAATTCACTAGATAATGTTTAAAACCTTTCTCTTTTCACATAAGGATACGTACATATACATATACTTAACTGGGGAGTCAGGACAAGGTCTTAGATGGTGAGTTGTGACATCCCTTTACAGTCTAATTTTCATACTTCATCCATGACCTCAGGCCCTCTCCTTCCTTTTCTCAAATGCCTTTTCCTTGATTCCTTTATTATATCTTCCTTTTACTCTGCAATTGACATGTTCAGATGTGGAACTTGAAGGCAGAGGACAGAAAAAAGAAGAGGGAAAAATAACGTGAAGAAGAGAGTAACAGAAGGAGAAAAATATGAAGCACAAGACAGCAAATGATGGACTATTGAGGAATTTGAGGAAGCAGAAGGGAAAGGGAAAAAGCTGGCCAACTTAAAGATCTGTTGAAATCTCTGAATATATATTAACAGCAACATGAATACATCATCTTCTTTCCATACCTCCAAAAATCACCATCACTTTATTGCTTTAGACTAGTTTTGTGTTTTCATGCACATGACACCACATTCCACAAGCAGACTGGATCAGGTTTTAACTGGAGTAGCCCTTAAAAATTCCTCACAAACATTGTTTTAAGGATATGCTCAAGATCACAGGATACTGTAAACAAATTCCTATCAGTTTAGTAGTGATATTGTTTGTGATCAGTAACACACAACTGTAAAAAGAAATCCACTCTCAGAACAGTACATATCAAATCAAATAGATTTGACTTTTTAAAGTCTGAAATACAGGAACAGTGTGATGTACCCATCACTCAGCTGCTGCCCAAAAAAGCAGTAAGAAACAAATGGTGGAGTGACTGTAAAGGCAGCATTTCCAAGGAGCCAAGCTCCTCCTCACAATCAGCCAAGGTGCCCACTTCCATTCCTTAGCCCTGGGATTGCAAGCCCAAATCAAGTGTATGTGCCAAATCATGAGGAGCTGATTCTACTGCAAACCTGCCAACACGAAAATCTTGCTGCAGGGTAGGATGCAATGCAAGTTATGGCAGCTTTTACAAATACCAGGGATGTTTTCTGCTGCTTGGCAAAGCCTGCTGCCTCAATCTGCTCATCACAAAGAAATACACTGTCTGCTTCCCAATTAATCACCATCTTTGTTTAGGCAAGAGGAGCCACAATGGAAGGACAAGATTCTGTTCCTAATTAAGCCAGTGCATTCCATTTAAATAACGAGTTTGTACTAGCACAACAGAGAGCAAAGCTCAGCCAGAAAGTTGTTTGTTTGTTGGAATTATCTCAATATTTTTCTCTGGGAGAGTTCAGAAGCTTGAGCAGAGGATAGAGATGTTGCAGATCCATGGCTCTCAGTTACATTCCACAGAAAAAGCATTGTCAGATCTTTTCCCTGTTATGCCAATCACCCTTTCAGATGTTGCCTCTCCAGAAGAAAATGCAGGTAACTTTAAAACACCTTGCAAGTCACACAAGGAACCCTTTACATTTCATACCATACATTACAGCCCATTCCATTGAAGTCAGTGGCATTACATTTAGATTCAATGCAAAAATAACAAAGGCACTGTAAAACTAACCCTAAGGAGTGTAAAATAACCCTAAAGGGGAGTTTTTTCTCTCTGCTTTCACTAACTGGGACAGATTCTGTTCCTATCTTCAGTAATGTATCCCCTGTATATGCTTGCAGGTGAGTGTAGCTACTGTATTCTTACAGAGGGCCATGCAGAGAAGAGAATTTGACACAATGAATGGCTGGCCAGCCCCAAGTTGCAAAAGCCTTTTAATCAACACTGCTGTTTTCCACTAAGGCACATGTCCAGTGCTAAGCTTCTAGCTACTTAAGCCAGGAATAAAAAGAAATGGTATCTATTATATGTGTGTACACACACACAAAAAAGTTTTACATGATGTGCTTTCCTTTGAGAGCCAGTTAAAAGGTATTTATTGCCAAAGAGAGCCGTGTGAATGCTGCTGGTCACTCCTACTATGGCCAGGACCAGCAGTAACAAGGTTTGAAATAACAAGCAGCTGCTGAAGTGCTCAGGAACAGACAGCATGGGAGACTCACACTTGCTTTTTATCACTGTGATAAAGGCCAGCAGTCTCTGAACTGCACTAGGCCAGGCACACTGGGACATTTGTGTTGGCTGTTTTTCTTGCACACAACTTATTAATAAACATAACATAATAAATGCATAATCATAAATTGGATTATAATCATCGAGAGAAACTAGCATTAGCATGTCCACAGTGGTGCAGCTCAATCTCTGCTCATTTTGAGGGTTTGCCACCCCACATCCCTTCAGGATCTGTTTGTCTCCTCCTGTTTTTCTTTTGCTGCTTTGATACTGGAGTGGTAAAGGGTAAGGCTTTGACTTGCAATGTTTGCAGTTGCTTTTTACCTCATTTCCAGCTCCAGGCAGGAAGGTTTTGACTTTGATTGTCTTTCCAGGTGCAGGAAAAGGAGATTCCATCAGACTTCTCATAAATGGATAAACCAGGGCAGCAGATATTCCCCTTCTCCTTTCAACCTCATCCAGGATCTGGTCCATTAGTAAGACATAAGTGAGAGAAAGACAGAACATGTCAGCATCACATCGTCTTTTGAAGCATCCTTTGACCAATGTGTGCTTAAACACATGGCAGATCTAAATTTACATCTCCTCTGCCGTGTATTTCTTCATTACCATCAATCCATGTTATTTGGTTACAAAATGAAGCCCTGTTTGTGAATGTAATTAACATAGAGGCAAGGAGGAATTAACAAATCTGGAAAAGAGGAAGAAGACTCAACATGACTAAAGGGATCTATATACTGTGGGATTATGCCTGAACAACAGGGAGAGCTAAAGGAGAGAAAGATGAATACAAATCCCATAATCACAGCCCAGGTCAGCATCACGTCTCAGTGGTACATTTTTAAATTTGTATCAAGGAGAAACTTTCTTCTGCACTGAGCATCTCTTCCATTTCAACTGAGAGGGCAGGAAAAAGCCAGAGTAGCAAAGAAAGCAATGCTGCCACTATGATAGCAGGACAGAGCTCCTGAAAGGGTCTCAGCAGTGACTGTCAGGTCAGAGTCTGTGCTGAGCTGGAGATGCCCCTGCAGCACACCCACTGGTGCCTGCATTGAGGTCATTTTCTCTTGATGAAACAGAAGGCAATCTAGTCTTGAAACAAGCAGATGGAACTTCTTAAAGATAGAGGAAACTATTATTTTCTTCTCTCTTTGTCACATGGGGCAATATAAATTAGATCACAGCTAAGTTTTCCCACATTAGACAGAACATATAGATGATAAAGCTAAAGAAGGCAGAAAGCAAGGTTCAAAGCTGTGGTTTGACCTGCAATGGTGATCTTTTAACTACAACTCCAGAGCAAAAGGCCATACAAGAGTTAGTGGGCCTGAGCCAGGCATTTTCTCTTGTTTCTCTTGGAAATGATTTTCACTGAAGCAGAACATTAAAAGACACTTAAGCACAAGCTGGTGACCTGTAACGAGAGGTGGTGACACCAAATGCCAGCAGAGACATTCACTGCTGCATAGTTTCCCCTTCCTCCCTGTGACATAATGAAGCCTTAACTAAAGCAAAGCTGCCCCTGTATACATAACTTGCATTCCAGTCCTTGGAAGTGGCAGATAACCATAAATGAGGGCATGGATTTCACTCTTGATGTAATTTGCAGCACAGCCATCCTCAGCAAACAAAACCAGCTGCCCAGGTGGGAAGCAGCAATGAAGCAGGACTGTGGCCCAGGTCCCTTGGTGCTCCTGCAGCCACAGCATTGGCTATTTGGTGCTCTTTGTTGTTGGAGCTGGGGTCGTGTGTGTGTGTGTCATATGCCTGGCTCCAAGGACCTTCACAATGCAAATAAAAGGAGCATTTAAACCAAATAAAAGTTGAGCAGAGATCCCAAGAGATAAAATGGTCAGGAACATCTGTTGAAACCATGACCAAATGAACTGGCTGGAAGTTAAAATATCTGTGGTTCTCCAGTCTGTCTCAGCAATAGGTATTACTACAGTGTGTGAGCAGGAAAGGCTTTGTGGAAGACAAAATTGAAGCAAGTTATCAGAAATAGGATGATAAAGATTTTAAACCAGAGGAATCTTTTTGCTTTTGTGATCAATAATTCCCAAGATTTAATATCCCATGGTCTTTCATCATTCACAGTGTAAGGTAGACACAGCTATTCATTGTATTGAGGGCCAGTTGTCTGACCTTATGCCTCAGCTGCAGTGATACTTGGTTGTAAGGAAGAGACTTAATTTTTTTTTTCCTTCTCCCAAGTCTTCCTTTGAAAAATAGAGCACTATCAAAATTAGATGAAAACAAAATAGCAAACAAAGAGCTCAGGAGTTGTGTCAGTGTGCTGAGCTGGGTGATCCTCCCAGAATAATGCATTCCATTTCACTCACAGATATCTGTGTTTAGATATATATTATGTCTAAGAGACACTGTTATAAACCCCTGATTTCAGGGCTTTATGAAAGACATCAGAAGCAAAATTGCAATTAACTATTTGCAACCCGAATGCTGCTCTTCACACAATGCTTGTGTTAAACAAAGTTTTATCCAGAAAAACTTGAAACCTGCTTTAAAGTTAATATTCTGTATGAACATTAGATCATATGAACGATAAAAATGCTATGATTTTTATTAAAATCAATGATTAACATGCTCTTTTCAGCTTTATTCCTATGAAAATTAACAAGTAAAATCTGTGAAAGTTCTGAGAGATTTCCCAAATCCGAAGTGAAAATCTCTGGCAAATTAAAATACAATCAATTAAAATTGGGCCAATTAAAAGATGATCTGTGCTTTATCCTAGACTCCTAGGGTGAAAAAAAAAAGTGTCACCAGTGCTAAGTGTATAGAATTCACATATCAAATAATCTTTTTTCTCAACCTCATCATTCCACAGGGTGTTGGAGTCAAAGTGGTACTGGCCCATCATCCAAACTATGGGTGCCAAGAATTACAGCTCAGCACAGAAGGGCTGTAGAAAACAATGGAAAAAGCTTCAGTCAGCCAGATCATACAGACACCCAGATGTTTTCTGAATCAATTTCTGCCTCAGTCACAGAAGTAATAAGACATTCTTTGATGAATCAAATAATAGGGATGGAATATCCAAAACAGCAACTGTAAAATAGTTATCTCCCATCAAAGGAAGGAATTCTTCCAGTCTGGTTCATCACTGCAGATGTGTCTCAGTAAACAATCGAATTAAAAAGCAATATTAAGAAAAGATCTCCTTACCTTGGAAAATAAGTCAAAGCACCCCAGGCGGCTGATGACACAGTAAACTTCAGGTAGGCGTGGGCCTTTCCCATTGGGCTGATAACAGCAAGAGGAGATGGGAATTCCATATTAATGTGGAGCCATGAGGAAATACACTTCTCTGTCTGACCACACAGTTGGCCATCATGTGACATCTCTCACTATCTGCTTCTCCAACAAATAGCTGCTTTTGGAAAAGCATCATATTTCTTCCATGAGACAGGAGACTGAAAAGCCCAGATAGAGCTTATCCTCTTTGGAAATCACAGCGTGTTGGAGCTGAATCCCAGCATCACTCCAGCTTGCAGCCATAAAAGCACATGGAACCAGGGCTGGAACTCATTTCTCTGCTATCCCTGTCCCTGCTCCTGCTGCAGCACCGGGAGTGGGGCCACGCTGGGGCTGTGAGCTGCAGGAGGAGAACTGCAACACTGAGGGAGACCACGGTGGCTTTGGGTCCCCACTCCCTCACTCCATGGTGTTCAAAGAGAGCTCAACCTACAGAAAGTGAGCTCAGAACCTAAACAAAGGCAGGCTGCATGAGTAAATCATTAACTTCATCAGACCAGCTCATGACAAACATGAAACACATAACTTTAACAGTGGCAAGTATGAATCAACGATACACATCCCTGTTACCCCCTCCCCAAGAGAAACTGTAAAGACCATCCTCTGTAATCATGCTATATAAGATTTGTCCTGGAGAAGCAAATGGTCCTTCCTCAGCACACTGGGCTCAGCTACCCTGCCTATTCCATTTATCTTTGTCTCTTCACTGGACTCTACTGGTGCAGTGATCAACTTGTCCATGGAGTGTTTGAAATTCACATGCCACAGAGATGACAATCAAGAGAAGCTGAGGGGTAGCTGTGCTTTTTAAACCTGAATATTGCACTCTAGGCTTGGACAGTCAGCAGGTGCCTGCCTGTTATAATAAAGACCACAAAAAAAAAAAAAAAAATACCAAAGCTAAGTGAATACAGATGAGTCTATTTCTGGATCCAAACCTGCTCGCTACGCGTCACATCTCTGAAAAAGCAGAGCCCTTTTTTGTCCATATTAGGTATAAAATCCTTTCTAAAGGCACTGAGTGATTATATCAAGCATGTGGGATTTTGGTTAAAATCATTGTGTCAAATCTGCAGGAATGCCGAAGCCATGCCAGGAGCTTTGGACAGCTCCCAACCAAGAGCTGTCTCACTGAGTGCCAGTAAAAACATCACATTCCTGGGTCATCTATAAGACCAGAAACAATAACTGCTTAGCACTTATTCCAAGTTTCTCCTTTATGAAATATCATTGCTTTCAAATGTTTTAAAGGCTACATGTCTGTGGGAGCTGGGATTCTTCCCTCCCTGCTCTCACTGTGTAGGACATCCTTTTTTGTTATTTCAGAGACCTTTTCCTGCAAACAGCACAGCCTCACAGATGCACACACATCAGCTGTCAGAGCAGCAAGCAAAAGCCTCAAGCAGAGCCATTCTGAGGGGAAGAACTTCTCAAATTTGTAGCACTGGCAACCCTTCACATAACCTCCCCTCTCAGCCACCACCTCAGACTTCACTTTACACCTCACTTTAGATTGATCTAAAACACCCACTGTGCTTTAGTTTGCTTCTTTCCCAGGAAAGAACATCCTGTGGGACATGACACAAAAGCAAAGTGATAAAGTAGCCCAGCTGAGAGACACCCAAGTGACTGACTTGGTGCACTGCACTGCTCCTGAAAGAAGAGAGATGGAGGGAACGATGTTTTGAGTTTGCTTTGCTTTCAGTTTGTTTTTGTGGAGCCCAGGATATTTTCAGCCTTAGTCCAGTATCACAAAATGAAAATGCTGATGAGTTTTGATGATAACAAGACGGTTTTCCAAAATGATGAACATAAACTGACAAGAACTTGGCTGAGATAGAGAGGCCAAGCTCTGCATCTGGGCTTGTCTACACGTGGCTCAGGACAATCTTTTTTATAGTGAGTTTAATCTGAATATTACTGACTAAAGCCCACTCCAAAATCTTTGGCAGGAGAAACAAGAGGCTTTTGCTCCAAGAACTAAGCCTGCCATTTTCCTCTTTCAAATCCCACCTCCCTGTCCATGTGCTTGGATTCTATGGAGCCTTCAGAGATCTCCTCCCAGTCTGCCACTGCCCTGAGCTGTGTGAGGGAATTGGCCTTTGCAAAGCACATGCACTAGCCAGCATATCCAGAAATATTCAGAGATATTCCTTAGTGATGCCAGGAATCAGAACAATTCAAACACTGGGAGGCTAAAATGAATAGTAAGTCACAAGCCAGTTTCTATGGAGGCTCTTGATTCCTTGTTAGGGCCAATCCAAATTCTGACCATGAGAAAACTGTGGGTGTTGTAAATCTAAAAGCACTTCTTAAAGACTTCTTGTTGTGTGAAACATGAACTTTGGGTGCCAGAGCACTCAGTGTGCACAGGGCTGTCAAAGTGCTTGGGCAAGGGCAGGATGGAAGGGAACAAGGAGAAAAAAGGATTTTCCAATAAGCTTTTTACAACTCCATAAACAGTCTACATCTCACAAAAGTTGCTTTCACACTACAACGAATGCCATTATCCTGCCCCCAGCAAATGCAGGATGTCAGGTTAGTCCCACCTAACAATTGCTTTCCACTTTTTCAGGTACACACTTCACATTCAGGCATCTGCTCCTCCAGGGACTCCTGGGGCTGGCTTGCCTTAGCCTAGAAAAGTGGTGGAGGATCAACTTTTATGTGAGAGGGAAGAGAGGCATAGGATGAAACAGCCCCTGCAAGGGTGCCCAAGTCATTTCTGCTGCTGACATGTGCACTCACTAGAAAAGCTGTTGCAGGATTGCCTTGGAGCTATCAAGATGTAACTGGAAAATTTCGTGCTCTCTATGGAAATGCAGATTGTCTGCTGTGGGACAATAGGTTACATTCCATTCTAATCCTGTTCCAAAATGAAATGAAACAATATAAATACATTTAAAGGGGATACTGTACAGGATTTGTAGAACAAACAAAACATAATTGTCACTGTATCCCTTGAGGTAGTTTTGGCACACAGACCTCAAAAAAGGTCTGGAAGAATCTGAGATCTGAAGGAAAAAAAAAAAAAGTGGAACAGTTTGTTCATATCACAACACGCCAAAGGAGAGCAAGGCTGACAAAACACAATTGTTTCCTAAATGCAGGAATCTGCACAGCAGACCCTGCAGAGGAGCAGCCAGCCATGCTCAGGATCATGGAGCTTTTGCCAGCGAGGCTGCCAAATGCACCAGAAGGTGTGAGACACCTCTTGCTGGGTATTACAAGAGCATCCCTCACCAGGACAGCTGGGGAACATTTTCTAAGGAATTAGCCTCACAGCGGTTGGCTTGGCTTAAAGTGGAGCAGTTTGTAAGAATTTTAAGGGGGTTTCGTGGTTCTGTGTTACAGCGTGGCCTCGCCTTTGTCTTACATAATGTCTGCTAAAACCTGCGTGTAGTTCCCAAGTTCTGGTTATTGCATTTGTCAGAATTTGCAGGCCAGGAATGGGACTAATTGAAGGAGATGCTGTGCCCTCCTGCACATCAGAGCCATCCTGGCATAAGTTTCCAAAACCTGCTCAGGAAATTGGACCCCCAAACACACAAATCTGCTGCTGGTATATAGAGAATACCTGCAGGATTTACCTGCTCCTTGCTGCCTATACAAAATCTGTATTTCACACTTAGGCACACAGCAGTGAGGCTGTCTCACCACACACCAACCTTTGCAGGAAATTGTTACACTTGGTGAGCTCAGCCAAACCCTGTGGAAAAGGCACCCAGATCACCACCCAGACTCCAAAGCTCTCCCAGCAGGACACAAAGAGTTTGCAGCACCCAAATAAAAGAAGATCTCTGCTACTTTTGCTTTTTTTCACAGGTAGAGGAAATGCTGAGATGCTTCTCTGCAGCTTTCCACGCCCCAGTTTTGCTCTCAGAAGGGCATGGCTGGGTTTGCCCCACGAAGGGCAAAGCTGGTCAAGTGCACTGGCATCACTCCTTCCTCTCCTCGGCTGAGTGGGCTGTACCAGTGGGGTGAGACAGGTCAGCTTCTCTGTGCCAGGGTTTGGAATCCAGATTAGGCAATCTGAATTAAGAGATCACCCAAGGTGGCAGCAGCAAACCTGCTTTACAACTGGCTTTATAATTATTAGATAGATTTAGCAAAGCACTACTTATTTGCCCTTTTTCATTTTGCTATTTATTGATTTTTGCCTTATCCAGTGGAGGATAAAAATGTCCAATGCTGTCTCAAAACACCATTATATAAAAGGGTGCACTATTGATTTAATTTTTTTCCTGGTATTTCCTAATATACTCATCTTTTGCACCAGCCGAAAGTCAGTGTTTTATTTTTATGTTGTCCTTAATGTAGGGTGAATTTCACTGAGCTTTAAATGAGTAAAGAAAGCCTATATTAATGTTTCATTGAAAAACTGATTCAACATTTCCGTGTATATATATTTTTTTTCTTTTATTGTTGCTGGTTATTTCAGTGTCAGCATTGTCCAGGACCAACCATTTGGCATTTCACAAAGGAAAGCTCAGTGCATGAATACAAATTTACTGACATTCTCAGAGAGATAAAAGTCTTAAACCACCTTTACCTGGCAGAGTGAAAACATTCCATAATTTAATTCTAACCATCATTTTCTGAGGTTTTGTTATTTTTTTCCAAAATAGACCTTTTTATCCTTTTAAATGACAACTCATTAAAAAAAGTTGAATTGTACTGCTGCCCTACATCTTGTTATGCTTGTTTACACCAGCGAGGATGACTTCTAGGTGCTTTCCTTGTTCATCCCTGAGCTACCCCCTGACCAATTTACTGCAGCACAAGCCTTCAGTGACATTTCCTGCCCACACATCAACCTTGTTGTGGCCCACTGTGACACACTGTTTTATACAGTGAGTCCCTGTGCTGATACCTATGGCAAACACCACCCCCAGAACTGATAAACAAGTTCTCTGTTTTGTTAGCTTAATGAAACTTCTTACAAATAGAGGAACCACACACAGCAATACCTCCCAGACAGACATCTGCTGTCTGCACGCCAAGGGCTCTGCCAGGGACAGAGACAGGGGAGGAGCAGGGTCAGGCACAAGCAGCAGTGCAGGACAGAGGGTGCTCTGCCAGTGACAGGGAGTTGCTCTGCTGGAAGCTGCTGAAGGCAGGTGTTCCCTGTCTGAAAAGGTGGGAAATCGTGCCAGAAAGGGAAGGGAAAATGCCAATGTGCCTTACTGTTAGAGAGGGGGGACCTATTTGCAAACTGCTGCAGACATTCATTTGGCACATAGAGTCAGCCAAAGACTCCTGCAGCATCCCATATCCATGTAAGCTCCTCAACACAGTGTGGGCAACAGTCATGAGAACATGACAGGAGCCCTGGCTCCCCACCCACTCACTCACTGACAGCTCCAAGGCTACCCAAGAGGTGCAGGGCCAGTGCAGGGATATTTCTGCTTCCTGCCTTGCTGCCATCCCATGGGGTGTGCAGGATGGACAGCAGAATCCCTGGCTGCATTGTGCTCCACCTCCCTTCCCACACTCTGCAAGCCTCTGTGCAGATTCCTCCCCCTCGATCCACACACACTGCTGTGCTCCCAGCTTATCAAGTGTCCAGAGATTTTCCAGATGATGAGACAACACTGTTTGTAGGCTCCCCACCTCACCTGTTGACCACCCCTGGCCATGAGGACTGAAAACTGTGTGAGAAACCAGACTTCCCACTGCTGGCACCAGCCTGTTGCATGGCTCTGAGCTGCAGACTGATGGGACAGTGCTGGCAGAGTCCTTTGAGATGTAAGCAGCTGCCCAAGAGATAAACACTACTCACAAATGTTTAGAAATACCATCTTTGCCTTTGTTTCCAGTGTTGTAGTATTTCTGATTGTGCTTGAAAGCATATAACATAAAGAATTTATGAAGTAAGTGCTCACACAAGAAACTTCCCCCATTCTCAGAAATTCCCTACAAACCTTGGGATCTATCTAATTAAAATGGCCATTACAAATTCTTATTTTAACTTGATCTCCTTACGTTTCCAAATTGCAGAGGGAGAAAACCCTGTTCCCTTTAAAAATCATGAGAGACACCCTCAGTTCAGACTGTAGTTCTGAGATCCTTTTTAAGAGATTTCTGCCCTTTGAAGCGAGGGTGATGTACTTACCAAGAGCCTCCTGCAGTACCCGAACCGCCGGCTCCCATCCTCCCCCGTCAGCATGAAAGAGAAGGTCTCACTAGGAGAGAGTGAATATTCCAGAGCTTAGATCACAACTACAGCGTGGCTACAAGGTGGATCACTTAGGAAGGGACACTCATCAAGTGAGAGATGCTACCCACTGCAGGGTCTTCATCATTAGGACATACTCTGTGGAGAAATTCTGTCAGCAGCATGGTTAAGGATAATTCAGCTGTTTTATCAGAAGAGATGGGTGCTGAGTGCAGAAGAAACATGAGAATCAGATTCTGAGGGCAATATTCCAGTGCTCCTTTACTTTTGGTTCAATCCTGCCTTTGGACTGAGCTTTGTTCTTAAAGGGACAACCTTAGATATTCTCTGAGAGTAATCATTTCCTAATCCAGAAAGAAGACAGGTTTCCAAAATCCAACTCGTTTTATGTCTCTGTCTAGGATAAATACCATTTGTGACAGAGCAATGGAACAGCAGTCTAAGGCTGTAATTACAGCACAGGTAAAGGGATGGGTCTGTGAATTTGTGCCTGGGCTGTGAAATATTCCTGACTGCTTTGCAAGTTTTAAACTGCATTATATAAAACACTTCCTTGTGCTGAAATGCCAGGACAAATACAGATGTCGTCTCTGGGGAGACTTTATTGTGGCCTTTCAATATATAAAAGGAGCTTCTAAGAAAGATGGGAACAGACTTTTTAATAGGGTCTGTATCAATTGGACAAAGGATAATAGTTTTCAACTAAAACTAGGTAGATTCAGACTAGATAAAAGGAAGAAATGAGAGTGGTAAACCACTGGGACAGGTTGTCCAGAGAGGTGGTGAATGCCCCGTCCCTGGAGGCATTCAAGGTCAAGCAGGATAGGGCTCTGATCAATCTGGTCCAGTTGGAGATGTCCCTGCTCATGGCAGAAGAGGTTGCACTAGAGGACCTTTAAAGATCTCCTCCAACCCAAATCATTCCATCATTCCATCCCTTTTACCTATTCTGTTACTCTGCAGCTTTGGATCAACCAGTTGTCACGTATCAATACAGAGGAAAAGAATTATACATTTTTTGGGGGTCACTTTGAATGAAAAAGAAAATGTAAGCCTGGCTCTCCTTTTCCTTGCCCTTCTCCTGCAGTCATTCATCTCCAGTAGAAGAAAGAGAGAGCTCCTCTGCTGGGACACAGCTCAGCTTCAAGAAAGTTCTCAGACAGCAACATTTTGAGCCAAATGAAGGGGGAACCTGCAATGTTAGACAAGCACTCTGAGGTGAATGACTTGGGCAGGGGGTGGCTAGGGCCCCATCCTTTTTAAGATTTATTTTAAATACTTCCATTTATTCATTTGAGTTTACCTCTCAGTGGAACCTTCAAGCCTCTTCCCCTTAGCCACACAGGCCTGTGAGACAGGCAGAGCAGGGAAGAAAAAGAACACAGAACTTCAAAAGAAAGGAAAATTAAATACAGCTGCTTGATGACAAAGTGGCCAAGACTCAAACTGCTGCTTCCTTAATTGGGCATTGACGAGGCTGAGGCTGCTGCAGGGCACTCCAGCATCACCCCAGCATCACCCCAGCATCACTCCATGGTGCAGAGGGGCTCTGCAGCACTCACCTGTTGTACTCAGACACGGGGAGCCAGTCCTTGGCATCAGGGAAGCAGAACTGTGGGATAGCCTTGAGGCGCTCCTCTGCCTCCCTCATCTGCTTGGTTGGTCTCTCCAGCTGCCAGGAGAAAAGGGAGGTTCAGTCAGAGTGTCCCTCCCCAGCTCTGCTCAGGACCAGGCTCACTGAGCAGCTCTGGGAGCCAGGGACCATCACATTGTCCTGTGTGCTTGGCAGAGTGAGCCGTGACTCCAGGACAGGCTTATAGGTGCTTGAACAAAAGAAATTATCACTGCTGAGGTTTTACATTTCTTAAATTGTCTGAAACTCCCTTGTTGTACAATGGCCACTTAAAACACAGCCCTAACTCAAATACTTTTCTGCTGCAAGAGCACAAGAGAAATGCCAGAGATCAGCACAAGTCTTTCCATTGACTTCAGCAAGTTTTGGAACAAATCCTAATGTAGCTAAAATGAGTTAAAAGTGAAATATTTAGAAACCGAATTTAAACACAGTCTTTAAAGCATCCACCATCAGGCCAAATTCTCCAGCTCTGGAAAAGATACATCTCAAGACAGGGAAAGCTTTCAGTTACCTTCTCTATGCCCTTTGCTTTGTAACAGATTGCTTTGAAACAATTCTGAAAGCTCTATTGAAGAACTGGATTTCTATTCATTTTTCCATTAATTCACCTTACTTATCTTAGAATGAGCTGTAGATAGGAATTTTTCTTTTACCTTGGGAAACTGGTATGTCACTTCTGGGAGGTAAGTGTTTTTAGAGGGCTTCTTTTTCAGGGACACTACCACAAAATACTCAAATAACTCCCGTTCCTGCCACTCAATGAGCTCCAGTTCCAGGGTTCGATAGCTTGGAGCCCTCTTCAGCATTGACTGGATGTGTACAAGGCGCTGGGTATGAGCTGCCATTTAAAAACAAAAGGAAATAAAAAAAAGACAGATCATTACCTGAGACTGTCATGTGTTTGTGTAAGCCACAGCCATTCACAAAGGCCTTTCAATTTGCCAGAGTATTATTCCAAGCATGTTCTCCTTTCTAAAGCAAATCTTCTAGTTAGCAAACCTTCTGTGGTCTCCCTCACTAATTGCATCCATAAATCAAAACTCTCTCCAAGCACTGAAGTTATGCAACACTCATTCACTGAAATAATTTGCAGTTCATAACTGCTACCCTGCCCAAGGTCTGGCTTTTCTTCACACATAAAACTGGATTATAATCCCTTATGTGGTTGTGCAAATGCATTGGAGCCTTCAGGGTGACACATCTGAGGCCTGGCTTACCCCAGTGAAAAACATTTCTGTGCCCTGTCCCTACACAGCACAGCTTTTTGCTACAAACCACGTAAGGCAAGCCATGGGATAATCTCCAGGGAAGTGGGACAGGGAGGAAAGATGTGCCAATTGCCTCCTGTGGGTTGCTTTGTTAGTGCTAATTCATTTGGGGGATGATCTTAAGATTCATGGTCACTCATGAAGGCAAAGATGTGACTTGATCCAGTGAGTTGTTGCTTGATACCTATGGTATTACTGCTCATTAGCATCACCAGTTCTGGTACACCAAAAAAAAAAATCAAAATCAATAAAAGCAGGTCCCTGCATGCCCTTCCCCAGCTCTTCACACAAGGATCTCTGGCAATGGCAAAGGAACTGTTAACACCTCAAACCCTTCAGGCTCTACTCACTGCCTCTGCCCACAGCTTCCAAAGCTGACTGGCCCTTGACAAGAAATAAGATGTCATAAGCTCTAAGGGAAAGCCCTTGATGACCAGCCCTCATACATCTGGTTCAACAGAAACATTAAAAATCCTTCTGATAAAGCACTTGGGTCTCCATGTGACTGCACAACTAAGGAAGTTAAATCCCCTAAAAACAAGCTGCCTGCTTCTGCCTTGGGGCAGCTCCACCCTGCAGCCACCCCTTCACGTTTGCTAGAGGTGAAACCAAAGAGCCCATCCCACCAGATGGGCACCCAGGGAGTCCTGTCATGCTGCACTTCACAAGGGGGTCTTTAGCTCAGGATGCCCAGAGAGCATCGATGTGAACACAAAGGCACTCGGGAGCAGTTGGTTCCAGAGACATCAGAATGAACAGCCTCTGTTCCTCAGCAATGGGGGAAAAGCCTCCCAGTTTCCAGTGAGGTCAGAATTTCCTCCCAGTAGCAAGAGAGGGGCCAGGCCCTCTCAATCTTCTTTCACGGCTTATAAGATCAAGCAACCCCTCTATTTTCTGGCACCAGAGAAACAGAACTGCAAGTGCTTTTGGGTTGGTACAGGTAGGCAAAGGAGCAAGGAGCCATTTTCCACACATCACTGTACAACACTGCATACAGCCTGTTTTGGATGGCCTCACCACCACTTTTCTGGCACAAATCTGTTTCCCTAAGACAATGTTTTCCAGAAAGTTTTGCTGTATGTACAGTAAGCAGGTGTCACCTTCATTAGATAGACATGGATGATTGCCCCATATCTTATAAGAGCTCCACACTCTTGTCTTTTTTACCCCTCACCTACTAACAACGTGATGGTTTTTTTACTAATGAAATCTGTTGCTGCTGTCTTCAACTTTTTTAGGCTCTTATAGGCCTATTTCTGTATCAAGACTTAAGAAAAGGAGAGATTACTTTACTGGTCTGGCTCAGGCAGAGTTTGTGCAGGTGCTGATAAAGGAATTTCTACAATTTGTAGACTGCAGACTTATAAAATAGTCTAAGAACCACAATGCTGGATCAGACCCAGATCCTTGCCTCCAACAGCAGTGAGCAGTAAACAGTGAAAGCAGCACATGAATAAGAAAGGAGCATCTTTATCCAATCTCATCCCTCTAAGCCTGCACCCAGTAGTCAGTCTGGAACAGATCAGCATCTCAGAAGTGGCTGACAAAGCCAATCTATCAAAGGTCCTGCTCTTCATTAAATGACACAGTTGCCAAATCCTTGTTAGACCTTCACAGCTCATTTTGTCCTTGCTTTCCACGTTCATGCTCCCTCCTGTGTTGGAACTTTGGGAGCTCTGCAGTGATGGAGTGAGGAAACTACAGAGAATACAGGCCATGGACAGGAACAATGTGCAGTAGCAGGAGAGCACACACTGATAAGGTGTGTGACAGGGTTTAACTAGAAGTCACTGAAGGCTGATCCCTTACCTTTAAACCTGTCATCTGAGTCACTCTCACTCTCGCTGTTCTCATCTGCAGAGGACGGAGAGGAATCAGTTAATGCAAAACCAGAGCAAACAAACTCAGTTCACTGTGCTGCAACCAGGAAAAATCCCATCTCCCATCTCTGAGCCTTGTGATACACACATGCACTTCGCCTCAGTCTTAAAATATCTTGAAATAAACAGTTTGAATTACTCCTTAGATTGTGTTTTCCTTGGATTCAGTTTCAATATTGCTTGAGAATAAGAACTTCATTTTGATGAAAGGGCAAAATTCATTCTCCATTACAGCAACTGTTTGCACTGAATCCCCATCTATGCTGATCTGCAAAAGTGTCCTCTGGAAAATGGGTCTTAACCCTTTCACTTCTTGTTTTCAGGTTTTAATTTTTTTAATTTCTTTTTCTTTTTTTAATCATGCAGCACTTGAGAAATGAAAGTAATCCTCATAAGCTTTTTCTGCCTGGGCAACATTCCCAATCACCAGAACTCACCAAACTGAGTTAGAGTTAACAGGCAAAAATAACCTTATGACAAGATGTGTATCTGAGGGGTTCTTGTATTAAAGCCCTATTCTTGCAGAAACAGGGCCTGAATTTCTTTTTTGGCCCCTGTTTTTTCAGAAGCAGTCTGAAGCACAGGATGAGTTACAGGCTGTGAGTGGCAGGAAAAAAGCATGCAAGAACTCCAGGGTCAAAACTGTGAATTTTGGACAAAACTTACAGTAAATGTGGACTGAAGAAGCAGCTGGGTAAGTCTAGCTGACCATGGGATTAATAGGATACACAATACTGAGAATCTCATTCATTTCTAGCTCATCCCCATTTTCTCCTCTTGCAGAGAGAAAATTATCATTGTTCACAGAAAAAAGTTGTAAGCTAAGTGGAGTCCAGGGTAGATGTGGAGGAAAGAAGGAAATTGGTTAATCCTGTAGCATCCAAATGGATTCACTGAACCATGACACTTGTTCCATACCTCGTAGGGATGCTGTCTCAATATTGGACATAGAAAGTTTCTTCAGTCGTTTTTTCCCTCTTTTTGCACTGTAGATGGAATTGATTCTTTGGACAAGCTGAAAAATAAGAAAATGAGGAGTCAGTAAGACTAAACATTTTTCTTCCAGGAGACTTTCAATTAATGTATTCAAACAAAACATGGATGATAGACCAGCTAATAACTGCCCCAAAAATAGGAAATATTAATGAGATTACTTGTGTTTATTGTCTTCAGCAAGAGGCTGGGATTACTAAGAATTCAACATTAAACAGAATATTATAGCTTCGGGAGAGTCACAAATATGTAACAATTAATATTCATGATGTTTTATAAGTCAGGAATAGTATATTTAATTTCATAGCAGATTTCTTCATAGAACTATAATACAGTTGAAAAAAACTTTTCAACCTCAGCTTCCAGAGAGAAATAAACTGAGTGAAAGGATACAATTTGCTATAGATACAGCAGAAGGGCAGTAACAGAGCACAAACTGAAACAAAACTTTTTTAGGTTTTCCCTCTAAAAACTAACACTATCTCAATTTAAAAAATTATATTCTCCAGGAATATGTGATCTTGAAAGGTAAAGAAGTAAAAAATATAGAAATTATCACAAGATTTGCAATAAAATTGTGAATATTCATATGGTGAAATCATAATTTCACATAAGGACAACATCTGTACCTCCAATTAAAAAAATGAGTACAAAATTAATAGCCAAACTTCCCAAGTTTTACTCAAAATCAAGTAGCAAGTTACTCTGTCAGTAGTCCTATGATTGCCTCCAGAGATGTGTGCCCATTTGTGAAGTATAACAATACATTCCACGAAAGTAAAAATTCAGGAAATATTAAGGATGTAGGATTAATTTCCTCCTTAAACCGAATTTCCAACTGATTCACAGAAACATTAAAATCTCCCTCTATTCACAGTATTTATAGCCATGTACTTTAAAATATGCTCTCTAATAAGAACAGGAAAGAGTTGAATACACAATAAAAATCATCTTTGTTCACAAGCCAAAATGAAGCATTACTGGCAGTTTTCCCCCTCTCTATTGGTATTGTATTGTTGGTTTTTTGGTTGTTGTCTTGTGGCTTGGGGTTTTGTTCACATTCCATTTTGAATCGAAAAGCTCCTTGAAAAACGAAAAATTAAGTTTTATTCATCAAGACAGCATGGTTATCAGGATGGGGTCAGTTGTGAGTAGATGAAGGGAAACCTATTAAGCCAATTAGTTATTTTCCTGGAAACAAATGATAGGGAAATAAACCACTTCAGATGTTGCTGCATGTTATAAATAATAATTGCTTGGCCATCACCCATTCCAAATCTTAAAGTTATATACACAGCAATACTCTGCTCCACAGAGCTTAGAGAAGAGTGTGGAAAACAGAACTGCCTTAAAATCAATTCTGTGCAAAGATGGCCATCAGATGTTTGCTCCTCCTGGAGAACTTGGAAGTTATCACTTCTAGGGAAGGGATTTTGATCTAAATGCTCCTTTAAGGTACAAAAAGAGCTTTCAGTGATGGCTAAAGGCTGGCTAGAAATCCATAAGCTCTTGCAGAGAGGTGAGCTCTCCTAAGCCCAAGGCTGATGATGCCCCAGTATAGTAGGACCCACAGCTGGTGTGTGGCTTAGAGAGGGTTAATGAATGAAGTTTGTTTTGAGAAGTATTCTCTGATCAGGGCTGTTGGCCTGGAGAGCAAGAAGAGAAGAAGACAAGCAAGAAGAAACCTGCACGGGGAAAAGTATTTTTAGAAAAGTTTTATGGAAAACAGAGGCATGGATGGCTTTACACCAATCAACCAATGAAGAAAGTGTAAACTGTGTAGAGTGTATAAAAGACAGCGTGCTGTTGTAATAAATGGAATATTGGCCTTCTGGAATGTGGACACACACATTTAGAGAGCTGGGGAATTACAGCTTGGAAATTCTTCTCAGGCCTGGATTTCTCCTGACTCTCAGCTCCATTCCCAGGCTGACAAGCTGACTGCAGCTTCAGTTAGGGAGGAGTCTCCCAGGGTGACAACATGGTGACAAACAGAGTGGAATTCATCACCAACATTAACCCCTGGTGTCTTTCCCGTGGGACACATCCTGAGGTGCTGTCCCAAGGATGTTTTTCCCAATTGTCCAATGAGCTCCTGTCCTGTCCTGGCTGCACTAACACACTTTAAATCCGGGCTGTCTGTACAATAAATTGGCCTTTTTTCCCCCAAAGAGCTCCGTGTGTGTTGCTGTCCTTTCTCTCTCTGTGCAGAGCAGTGACCACGCTGGAATGCAGCGTGCCCGCCCCTACAGTGACACCGCGGTACCTTTGGGATCCTCCTGGCTCGCCGTGTGGACAGCAGCTCGCTGGCAGTGCTCAGGCTGTCCTCGTTGAGGCTGGAGGGGGACGAGGGGATGCCCAGCTGAGCCAGCAGCAGCATGTCATCGTGGCTGTGCCTCTTGGGCAGCCGTGGCAGGCGGTGGCTTTTCCTCTCTGACCAGTTGCCGACGCGCAGGGAGTGGCTGCTGGCCTTGGAGGGCAGCTGCAGGGACAAGAACAGCTGGAGCTCTTCCCTTCCTGACAACACCTGGGGCACAGGCAGCTCCTGGGACACAGTGGTGGCTGCACAGGGACACCGTGCCAGGAGAGCCACCACCCCGCAGGATGTGTGTCAAGAGAAAAGTCACAGTGACAGGGGTCAACCTCCAAGACTTTAAAATTCAAAAAAAAACAGCACCGTCTCTGACCTGCTACATTTCCATGCACCCACATCCCATCAATTCTGTGAGCCCTAAAATCTAACTGGAACGCTTGGCTGACAGCAGAGCACTGACCCAACAGGCCTGGTCCATTCCTCTGACTTGCAGGAGTGCAAATAAAGAGTAAATACACAATTCAGTGTAATATTAATTCAGTGTAAAAGTAACAACTAAAATAGCAAATTCGTGATATTTTATCCAAGTAAAAATAAAGTAGGAAAATCAAGCTTGTTCTATTTTCATGGTGTTAAGAAGTTTTAGGACCTGACAATCAGCAGAGGTGCAGTTACAACTCTCCCTGCATTCCTTCTAAAACATGAAACTGTTATCACTACAGGGCAAAGGCAAAATCTCACTGAAGGATTAAGCACCAGGTAACATCTGTCTTTAAAAAACTGGAGGTCTTTTGGAGCAGTCCTAGGAGCAGCTCTGCCCAGCTCCAGGTCTCTGCCTACTCCTCCCAAACACAAACACTGTAAGGAAGCTTCACCAGCACATCCAGGAAAAAGCACAGTTATGTCAAGCATCTGGCATTTACTAATATTCTATCAGCTCTGTTATAAGCTATAAACCTATAGCAACAAATGTCTCATTTATTGGCTGACTGATTGCAGTGCCATCCTACCTGGAATAAAGCACAGGTGTTTCTGTGGAGAGGGGCTGCATCACAAATACAATGTCATCATAAAACATTCCTTTCATACCTGATGACTTCAAAAACTGGAAATAATCAACAGGAAGAGAAAAGACACAGGGATTCAAAATGACCACACCACCAATTTTCTGAGGTCTATGTATACCACAGGTTAGCATGTCAGGAAAACTGGTGGCATTCTGTACTTTATGGAAAGGGATTCTTTTTGGAGATGATTGTTGGAAGCTTGCTGACCTTCTGATCTCTTCCATCTTGTTTATCATCATCCATGACTGAAAAGTCATGTTGCTAACCCAGCTGTGTTGCTATGATGGAAAAACTGGCTGATAAATCATTGCCAAAGCTACCATTCTTCAGGAAATTCAGACTTTTCTATTTCTGGTCATTGGAGAATTACCCAGACCCAAAGCTGACCCGCTCTTAGTGTCTCTTCATTTTAAATATCAGCACAATGACAGTGCAATTATAGCAGGACTAACTCCTGTCAGGACACTCCCAGCAGCATTTCAAAAAGAAGCTGCCAGAACAAAGACAGTCCTGTTGCAAAGGGTACCAGAGTCCTTATTTACTGAACAACTTGACAGAAGCCACTTGAATCTGTAAATTCTTTGATAATCCTCTGTTACACAGAGAACACTGGCCAGCATCTTCCTATGGATCTGCATGGTTCCCAGCCTGATGACACACTCTGAGGGATCTTCTGGATGCTACACAACTCCTGTTAACACACACACAGCCAGAAATAGTTATTATCACATCCCACTGTGAGGGACATTTCCCTCTTATCCTCATGACTGCAGTGCCTGTTTCTCCTTACTCTGCCTGATTACTGCTTTCCAATTGTTCCTTTTTCAGCAGCTTTGCTGAAGTCACTCCTGGTTTATAAAGGATGTGCCAGGAGCACACTGAGAATCCTGGTGATGCTTCTTTTGTCTCTTGGATTGTGATGTTTGAATGCACACAAAGCGAGTGGAAGAAAATGCATTCAGTTTTCTTTCTAAGTCTCTTTACAAGACAAAAATTTAAATTGTTGTGACCTTTTGTTCAACTGCAAATTTTCTGTTAATTCAGTGCACAGTGAAGCTCCTTTAAAGGGTGCTTTGAATCTCAAAATTATGTGCTGAGATTATTCTCCCTTATGAACATAGTGATCCCATAAACAACAAAGCAACCTGGCATTTCATGGTGTTCACAAAAAAACAGGCTTGCTTTGGAAAATCCACCATGACGACAGATTTGTCTTTACAAACAGGCCGTGGATCTGCTGGTAGATAAAACTAGCACTGAGAGATTGATGAATGGGAAAAAAAGATATTTGCCTTTACAAACAAACTGTAGGGTTGCTGATAAATGAAATTGGATATTGAAAGATGAAAGAAACAATGAGGGAAAACCAAGAATTCGATAAGAATTAAAAATTAAAAGGGAGGGTTATACATTAGAGGGGAATCTCAGGTATCAGGGGTTGTGGGAAGTCTGTGCCTCTCAAGTACCTCAGCCAATGGGGAAAGAGAGAGGGAAATGTGGCCGGGAAATTGGGATTAAAAAGAGAGGCTGCATCCTCCAAAAATTTGAGAGACCCCAGGGGAATGCCCCATGGCCTCTTCCTTTATTCGAATAAAGTAAAAGGATTTCTCTGTCTCCTTTTTGGTCATAAACCTCTGGTGTTTCTGGATTAATTTTCCTGACAACCACAAAAGGGAAAGTCTGCAGAGTTCCTCATCTTTCTTTTTATGCTATAAACACAGTTTATACAGCCTTGTTAACTGCAGACACTCGGGTTTTTCTCTTTTATTATCCGTGTATTTATTCAGGGCTTTTACCTGGAATTCTCTGTTTTACAATAAACACGCCAGACTACGAACTTCCCAAGAGCAGAGCCACAACACAGGGACAAAACCAGCAGCCGAATTCCGCTGTGGCGGCAGCAGGGACAATTCCCTAAGAGGTGCAGCCGCACAAAGAGATACTCGAGGTGCAGATGCGACTCCGAAACGAGCAGTGGGAGGGTTCTGAGCAGCGGGAGCGGTGCCGGGAGCGCTGCCGGGCTGAGCCCGCTCCGTGCCCGCTCGTCCTGCGGGCGATGCCGCCGAGCCCGCCGGCTCTGCCCCCGCTCCTGCCCGCTGCCTTTACCTGCGCAGGTGCCGGGTATTTCCTGCTCTGCGGCGTCCACATCCTGTGCAGGGAGTCGAGGGAATTCTCGGACAGCTGGTGCGATTTTCGCCCCGCGTGTCGCCCTTTCAGCTCCACATCCTCGTACGGGTTTTCCTTGGGTGACTCGCCTGCACGTTTGGGTTTGGGTTTTTTGGGTTTTGTTTTTTTTTTTTTTTTTAAGGAAAGAAAAACAGACAGGAATGTAAAATTAGAAAAAAAAAAATCATGTGAACCAAGTGAAAGGCTTTTAGAAAAGCTCCTCGGCTTTCAGCATGACTCATCCCTCTAGCTGCAGCTGGAAGTATTTGGAGGAGAACTTGGCTATGAGGTCGATAAGTTTCTTTGGATTTTTTTTTTTTTTTTACTGTCCCCTTGTTTTTTCTCTTCTTAACTAAAATGTGAAGATTTCACAAGACGTGCTTCTGAGCATCCGCAGCTGTGGAAAAATTATTGATATATAAAAGCTAAGGCACTTAACTTCTTGAAAGTGTATCAGTAGATCTTATAAATCTGTAACAGCCACTCACGGGGTGAAATGAAGACCAATAAATAACTGTGCTCAACACGCCACCCTTCCACACAATAAGACAATTCTTACTTGATGCAACCTTCATTTTTCTCTTCTCCTGAGAGATGGCAAAGAAAGAAATAACACTCCAGCTCAGTAGTGCCAAGAGATAAGATTGAAAATGCAAAAGGAGAAGAATTTCTGTCCCAACCATACTGCATCCTCAAAGTGTTCTTTAAAATATATCCTGTCTTCCAATTAGGCAGCTATTCATTTCAAGTTATGTGAAATGTGTCCCAGAAGGAAGCTCATCCTGCTGGTAATATATAGAGGCTTAACCAATTAATCACTAAATATTACTTAAACGAAAAATATATTAAAAAGCAGACCCCAGTCTTGGAATTTTTACCATTTGAAAAACAAAATTTATAGTCCATATTTAACTGAGATCCAATACACACCATCTTCTCAAAACTCCTGAATTTAGCAGACCCCTCACTAAACAAAGTAGCATGAAGATGAATGAGTGCCATCAATAAAATTAACATTCTGTATGCATTTTTTCAAACAGTTGATAATCAGCAACAGATTAAGAACTTCAGGTTTTTCAAACACAGTCATTCCAGTTTTCCAACCATTTTGAGCAGGAAATCATCTCAAAAAATGTGATCTACTCAAGTTAAAGACTTGGATTTACAGAAACATGCAGGAAGTTAAAAGCTTTTAAACCAACTTGCTTTCAGTTTTATACCTAAAGGTGGCTTGAAAACCCATGGGTTTAGTACTATACATATATTGCAATATAAGCTATTTAATATAAGAAATTCAGCTGAGAGCTGAGGACAGTAAGCTGTAGCATGGTTCATTGTTACAGAAAATATTCACAATATTTAAGGAGATGACAACTGGGGCATGGGTGTTTTCAGTGTGAGTGAGGCCTGGGTTAACATAGTCTGTGTGACTACCAGCTATGTTGTTCTAGGCAGACTAAATTTCCTTACTGTACAAAAGAAAACAAAAGCAGTTTGTACTTTCTACTTCATTGTTGAGCCTGGACGTGTGAGACTGCTCGATTCATCAATTACAGCCACAAGAAATTTTGCTGAGCAAGTTCACATATTCACAATATAAATAAAAATACAATTTTGCTTCAGTAGTGCATCATAGTAAGATTTCTAGTCAAACATAAGCACAAGAGTGAATGTTTTAGCTTTGTTCTAATTAGAAGCCTGAATCACTGCTGCTCTTGAAGAATGTTTGACTTGGCAATCACAGCTTATTATTTCATCCAGAGGGAATCTGATTCTAGAGGCTGTACTATCGTTATGGCCAATCCTCATGCCTCATGGAAAGAACACCTTCAGGTGTATGGAGTACATGAAAAAAGCCCTTTGGATAAATGCAATGAACAGGATAAATCTTAAGCAATGTATATTCCTTTAAAATATTTAATATAGTAATTATATTTCATTTAATATAATAATAATATTTAATATAGAAGTGGTTGATTCTTCCTGTGGGAAGAAAAAATAGATATCTAACCCAGATTCTGTTACTTGTAGTCTCTACAGCTCTAGAAATTATAAATAATTAGAAATCATAGCAATGAGTAAAGAGTAAAATTTGCAAAATGCTGTTACTTACAGCTGATTGGGCTCTAGTAGCATAATAAAATTTCTTGTAAGCCCAAGTCAAGTACAGGTCAAGCAATCATTTTGGAATGGATTAATAGATTTCAAAATACCCAGTTACATGAGACACCACTCAAACATGGGCTGCCTTGTGAGAACAAATGTTACTGCATTAGCCTACAGAGTATCCAAACTCCCCAGAAGAAACAAGCCCATCAGCAAAAAAAAAAACCCTTTTTTACAATGTAAAGCATTTATAAATGTTAGGGGGATTCTTTCCAAAACACAATGTAAAACAGAATTGCTTGAACCCAGTTAAACTCAACATAAATAATGTTGACCTGACATATTAAGAGTAGAAACGGGCCCAGAGAAGTCTTGGATGAGGGAAGAGGGAGGAGCAAGGAACCATGAGCAGAGATTGTTTTTCTGAGTCAGAGTCTCTACCAAAAGAGAATTTGGGCCAAATTCCTCTTCAGTGTAATGTGAAGGTCAGAGGAGACACCACAGGGATTTTAACCCTTTCCCCTAGAGCTGTGAGAGCTTCTGCAGATGGCTGGTCTGCTGTTCAAGAACTATTGTGTCTATTCTTTCTCTCATTTGCTTAAAAAACAAATTATTTCAGAATTGAGTTGAGTTTTTTCACTTTGAAATAATGCCTTGAGATCAAATACACCTCACCACTTGTTTTTTGCCTTTTTCTAAAGAAGCTCCTTTACACCAAATCCTTGATCATGAAATAGTCTGATCCAACAGCAAAACCAGGTGGTTTCTGGTATGAATTTTGAATTAAGTATTTGGTTCAAGCTGTGAACTAGAAGAGACAGATGAATAAACTATCTCCTCAGGAATTTTCAACCACGATTTCTTAGTATCTGCTGATACGCAAAAAGGGGCAAGCCAGACTGGTTTCTGTACAAGGGACAAGGAATCAAAGGTGTCAAATAAACTTAAAATGCTGGAAATACCCTGAATTGCCTTAAAGCAGCATTTAACTGCATCTGACTGCACAGTGACTCCCATGGCAGGAATATCTGGGACGTGGTGGTCACCAGCAGGTGCATGTCCCACGTGCAGTGAGGTTTTGGGGGACACCTGTGGTGGTGGCTGCTACTGCTGTGCTGCAGCACAAAAAGGACAAAAGTTTCCCCATCACTGGCTGGCTCAGAGGTTTACAGCTTTCTCCTCACAGCACCACTTCCCCAGTCCCAAGTCTCAGGCAAGGAATGTTTGCAAGCTGCAGTGCTTGGATTTGCTGCAAAAGGAGAATATATTTACAACGAAAGAGCAAGGAAATGTCCTTGTTCCTGCCATATGGATGTCTCTATTGGAAGCCAAAAGGAGAAACGTTATGCACTATAGAGGCCAGGCTTGTCTCAATGAGGCTGATCCAACAGCCACACAAGACAACAGCAGATTATCACTGACTTCAAAGGAAGCTGAATCATACCCCTAGAATGCATATGGTCACAAACAGTAAGTCTTTGGCAAATACTGTCTCTAATCACCATCCCTACTCCCAGACCAGTTCCCTCTATAGGCTTTTTTTTCCAAGTTTCCCATTTTCTCAAGTTTTACGTACCAAAGTGCTGAGTTAACTCAGGGCATTTATCTACACGACATTTATCTTCAGAAGATCTCACGGACAATTTAACGAAAGGTCCATCAGGGAAAGAAAAGAAGAACAAAACAAAACAAAACCAAGGAGAAAAAAAATAAAATAACCACGTATATTTAGAAGAGTCCTGAGGAATGCAGTGCCTTGAGCTTAAGCATCGATGAGTTTCCTCCAGGGGCTGCAGTTCCTCGCTGTGATGTGGTGCAAGTCAGCCCCACCGAGTCCTGAGGCAGCACACAATGTTCCTCTGCTCAGCTCTCACACGTGGCAAATGGGAAGCAGAGGCAGACTCACAAGCCTGTCTCATGCTGAGAAAGGAGTGAAAAGTAAGGCTGAGAGGGAAAAAAAAGTGAAGCAGGCAGATGCTTCTCTATAAATGGCAGAAAGCAGGGAAAGGCATCATTTCTTTCTAGACGGGAGAAGCAATTATCAGAGGAATTAAATGATTCACAGAGTGCTGATTTTAACTCCAGCCTTTTGCACTGCCAGGAAGAGAGAAGAATGGAACAGCAGGTATAGAGTAAAGGAAAGAGCTACTAAACTTGTGTTAAATTGGGTGCCTGAACTGGGAACCAACACTCACAGAGATACTGAATCCAAAGGGTGATGCCCAAGCTAAGAGGCTGCTGCCTTTGCCCCTGGCTGCTTAGAAAGCCCAGGCTTGCCTGGCCAGGACAGTTATCACCTCACAAATGAGGTGCACATGCACTGCTCATTCATTTCAGTCATAAAATTACACCAGCACAGATCCACACCACCAGTGCTGGAGGAGAACTGGGCCACTGGGATGTTTATGAGCATGTTCAGATCAAATGGATGAAAACCAGTAAATCTCTGCACTCCCATAAAATAGCCAAGCTAAGATCTTTGCTACATAGATCAGCTTTTTCAATGTCGAGATGCTGCAACTGTGCATCTCAGCTGGGGAATTTACCTCAGGAATCTGCAGAAAGAGGAACTATTTCAATCTCAAATTACAGCTAACACACATTTACAGCTGCTTTGAAAAGCTGTTGCTGAACAGCACCAAATTACAGGCCATCATTATTTGCTTATAGTCCTATCACCCAGGGTATCCACTCAGTACCATGAGCTCAGAAAAGCAGTGGAGCATCTACAACAAGCAGAGTGACAAGTCTAAAATGCAATCAGCCTTTTGGGCCCTGGTCCATGCAGTTTGTAGGCAACAGCCTGTGCTTTCTGAACTTCTCCAGCTCTTGCAATAAGCAGAAGAAACACTGCAGATGCTTTCACCTGCCTGCTATCTCTGCAGGGACTGCTGAGAGTTCAATCATAATGAAGCACAAGGGAAAAGAATTAGCATGGCTGATAAATGAACAAGAAATTGCACCCCCAAAAATCACCTGTTTA